AGATGTATCACTAACTTAGGTTGAATACAGAGTGCGGAAGACGTGGAATCTCTTTAGGAGTAGTTTCCAGAGGCAAAGTTTTGACAGGGGGCTTCTCTGGCTTTCTAGTTTGTTCATTGTGCAGCTGCAGAACAGAGGACGCGGGTGCGGGCTTGACCCCTTGTTTCCAAGGGGTGGAAAACTTGGCTTTTGTAGATCCTTTTGGTCGAGATCGCATTCCCAAGTGTTTTGGAGTGGGACTATCGACAGTAGCAAGGAGAGGTACCTCGATCATATCTCTGGACTTCTCTTCACTAAAAGTTGTAGAGGCAGGCCGTATCATAGGAGTGTCAGGTTTGCTTGTGCGAGAGCCGGATGCCACGTCACTTTTGGGCAAAGATGCGGCAATTGGAGTGACTGGAATAGTGCGGTTTGGTGCAGGAACCGTCTGGACCATCGGCTGTGAAGATGAAGGTCTTTGGGTCACCATGGGTTTTGGAGCCGGCAGCGATACTCTCGGCCCAGTAGCTTTAGGAGGTAGAGATTTCGTCGAGGAATTCTTTGCTGCTTCTTTCTCTTCCTCTGCATCCACTTCGGCCATGAGCTTTTGTGCAGCCTTCATTGCAGCAACGGAGGGTTGAATGATCTTCAATGCACTTGTAGACGGGCCGGCAGATGGTCGCACAAAGGACACGAATGTAGGAGCAGCTTCCTGAGCTGGATGGAACCAGGAATCATACTTTGAGTCTATGGCGGCGAGATCATCATCCCCGAACTCGTCGTCGTACTCATCAAATTCGTCTTCCAACAGTGTTTCTTTCTTGCTTGAACTTGCCAACAGAGTAGCGTTCTTTGATTTATTTTCAGAGACAAAAGCATTTGATGCCATGGCTTTCTCCAACGCATGGGCTGCTGGGTGCCTGGCTTCTACATTCTCAACTGGCGAATCGGTGCGCCTACGTTTCTTCGACGAAGGAGACCTCATTTGCGTAAATTTAGCCTCCAGCATATTGAGAGCTTCCAAGTCGTCAAAACCCATCGGAGAGAAATCGCCAAATGGCGATGAATCCAACCCCTTGCGTTTACGTGAGACTGGGGTGCCAGAAGCACCTTGGAGCAACATAAGTTAGCATGTATGATCCTTTAGGGTAGATGATGAGATATACCGGCTGGTTCCGTCATCCTGAATACTATCTCGTGAGCGAGCACTCTATAGGTCTTATCGTGTGTTTAATGCAAATTTCTCGCGTAAAATGATAAATGATAATATATAGAGTGCAGGAATAGGTATGCAAACGGGCTCCAAGCGTATTTCTGAGAATAAACGCGAATTGAGTCGGAGTGGCAAATTGGGGTCGGGTTCAAGGTTGAAAGTCTGTCGCCTTCTCTCATCCCTCTCACTCGCCCGTCCACCACCAACGCCTGCCGTCTCACATGTATTCGTCAGCCCAAAAAGCCAAACGTCGCGTTCACGGTCGAGAAAGGCCGGACCTGTCGGAAGAACAAAAGCAAGAAATCAAAGAGGCCTTTGAACTGTTTGACTCGGATAAAGACAACTGCATCGACTATCACGAGCTCAAGGTCGCGATGAGAGCCCTCGGTTTTGATCTCAAAAAGGCAGAAGTCTTGAAATTGCTCAAAGATCATGACAAGACAGGCCACGGGCTCATGGACTACGAGGACTTTGCAAAAATAAGTGAGCACGAGCGCGGGGTGTCCCACCCTTTTTTTGCCACTCACTGTCTCACCGCCGTATACTGACCGCATGTAAATGAAACATACAGTGGCTGAAAAGATCCTTGCTAGAGATCCCGCTGAGGAGATCAGACGAGCGTTCCAGCTCTTTGACGACGATAACACGGGGAAAATAACCAAAAAGAACCTCAAGCGCGTTGTTCGCGAATTGAACGAAACGTTGGACGATGATGAGCTGTACGTGTTTCCTCGTCATCCCGTCCTCCCTTTGCGATCCGCTCGCGCACTGACCGCCTGCCCATCACACAGCCAAGCTATGATCGACGAGTTTGACCTGGACGGTGACGGAGAAATCAATGAACACGAATTCTTCGCCATTATGACCGATGATGCATGAGATTCAAGATCCGTTATATTACAGTCTCTAAATTATTGGGCGCTCCACGAAATTTGTACATATGACAACCTTGCCGCCATCCCGCAAAAATCTCTTCTTATGCATTCCAAAAGAGAACAACACAAAAGACTCCTGCCGTAGGGCGGATGTCAAAATCCTATGCATTACGCTTTCTAAGCATATTGGAGAACGTCTTCTTCCGTTGGACCAACTGGCTGGTCAGAGGAGGCGAGATTGCACTGTCGAATGTTAATTAATGCTATTGCTAGTGTTGAATTAAAAAGATTACCTGATGGAATGCACGGACTTGGTCCGGAGTAAAGGCACCAACGACGGTGTGCAAGACACCGCGGTTGTGAAAGAGGACAAAGTCATTTTCTTTCCTAAGGGATATGTAAGTAGTTGCTCTTAGTTTGATGAAATGTGAACATACCAGTCGTGAGCATACACGAGAGGGGGCGCAATGCCCGGTCGCTGCATCTTGTAGAGCAAATCACGAACCTCCTTCAGATCAGTGATGTTGGCTCCATCGGGGTAGAGTGCGCCCTCCTTAGATGCCTTCTCCGGAAGAGGAGCGATCTCGATGGCAAATGCTCCTGATGGGTGAACTTGGTAGTGCAATTTGCCAGTAACGGGGTTCTTCCACAGCTTTTGGGAAAGTTAGCTCGGGGGCTCCTACTCGTCTCGGAAGCTCACCATTGGGAAGACCTTGACCTTCTCTTCACTCCACTCAGGGAGCTCTGAGAGAGGAAGCTCCTTGTTCTCCGTCAACAATCCGAGTCCAAGGGTGTTGGAGCGTGCGGGTGCCATCCAGACATATGGATGAGGAGCATAACGGACTTTGGCACGGACGGCGACAGACTTGAGTTCGGGAGGAAGGATATCGAACATGGTGGCGCCACATACGACTAGATGCCGAAGTCAGGAGGAGTTCGCGAATTGAAGCCGGCGAATAGACTTACATGCCGTCGTCCCCAATGGAACCTTTAGCTCGTCTCCTGTTCCGTCATCATACCGAACGACCTGGGGCGAGCCCCCAGGGACCTTGAGTCCATAGAGGGTCGTGACTTTGGGCCTGTAGTCTAGTTTAATAAGGAGCAACGGTAGAAAGGGTAATGAATAGAACTCACGGATCAAGGTCGTAGAGAGCAGCATCAATGTGCCTATCATGAGGTAGGGAAAGGTAATTTGGTGAGTTGCCAGATATGGAATGTTCCAGGGGAAAGTTCCCAACTCACCAGCGGTAGAATCTGGTAACACCCTTTTTCTCGTCTTCCTCGGATACGACATCAGCATGGAAGGTCTTGTGATGAGGATGCTTGAGCTTGGCCTCTGCGAGCCCTTCGTGGTCGTAGACGGTGCCATTGCCGATGAGCTGAACCTGGGGGACACGTGGGATGGTCTTGAGATCCGGGTGGAGGATCGACTTCTGTGTATTTCCGGTCTTGTTATTGCCATGTCCATAGTTCTCAGAGGAGGGGTCAAAGGCCTGAAGGATGACGTTAGTCAGGCGGAGATCCTGTGGAACAAGGGAGAGCAGTTGCACTGGGCTTACCTTGGTCAAGGCATATTGTTCCTCAGGAGTTACAACGACGTTGGGAAAGAGGAGTGCGCCGTGCTGATAAGGGTGTCAGAGCCGAGTGAAAGCAGCAAAGGCAAGTGGCATACCTTGTAGAGGAGCTCTTTGACTTCCTCGAGCTGCTCTGGAGTAAGTTTGCCGGGATGCACATCCTTGACGACTCTGCAAGGCTGTTAGCCACAACGAGGATGCATATAGTGATCACACTGCCCACCTTCCAAAGTCTTTCATTTTGGCAGCATCACCAGAGGGTGCGAGGGGGAATGGTGCGACTTCGACAGACATTGTGCGAGATGGATGGAGTAGTAGATCAAGTGGGCGAGTACGTGAGTGGCGGTCGGAGTTTGACTTGTATGGTCACGGCTCAGTCCATCGAGTGTCACTTGGCTCTTTTATACCCTCCACTCCCCTTCTCTCGGCTACCACTCGCTCGCTGTTGATGGCATCTACGAATCTACGAGAAAGGTCTAAGCCACAAAAACCATTGCAGCAGCCGCGCAGCTCAGCATACGAGCCGACCGGAACACCGTCCAACCAAACCGAAACCGAAAGCGCAGCAACGTCGACCAGACCAACCCCGCAGTCCATGTTTCGACGAAAACCATTTCTGTTTCTCGTGTTAATATGTTCGGGAATCGTATTTCTACTCTTCAAGGTATGCTTCACGGTCTACAGGGTCAATATTCGACCAGCGTGACATTCTTTTTCAATTTCAGACACGACAACCGAGCACTCCTGGTATCCCATCGCCGTTCGGAGATATAAATGTGCATAAATTGGACTTTTCTGCCGACCCCGCAAAACAAGCGGCCGTCGTATCTGCGTTCAGAGTGCGTCCCATTCAACCTCTTCTATGGCCTGCGCCGATTGACGTGTTTGATCCGATCGCAGCACGCCTGGAAAGCCTATCGTATGTTCCATTTCCCATGCATCTCTCACAGATAAACAGTATTAGAATACTCATAAGCGCCGCAGGTCGAGACGCGTGGGGCTTTGACGAGTATCACCCAGTCAAGCGCAAGGGCACAAACCTCAGCTCAGACGGCGGTATCGGGTATACTATCGTAGATACGCTCGATACAATGCACATCATGGGACTCGAACAAGAATTTGCAGAAGCACGCGAATGGGTCGCACGCGAGTTGACCTTCGATAGAGAAGGAAAATTCAACACGTTCGAGATAACCATTCGAGTCCTCGGGGGGTTACTCTCCGCCTATCATCTCTCGAATGACCAAATATTCCTGG